TGTAGAAAATAAAAGTTGTATAACCTAGTATAGTGTCTTATGTCTTCAATAATTACCTTGATTTTCCATGAGGGAATATCTTCGTTAGAGCTAAGTTTGATGATATTAAGGCAGTTATTTAGGATAGTTGCATTGGTAATCAACATAGCTTTTGCTAGAAGGCATGCTTGCCTCACTGCTTCTGCCTCGGCCACCAGAGGTGATGTTGCATTGAAGGCCTTTGCACTGCCAAACTCAAACACCCCCTATTAGTGCATAATACTGAACCACATGCTGCCTTTGTCGCTCCTTGGATGAAAGCACCATCATAGAATATGTGAGCTTCTTCACCATCCTCCTGAGGACCATTCTCCCTCCTCTCCAAGACCTGCTGTCCCCTTGATGACTTATCTTCAACATTTCTACATTGATCCCACCACATAGCCTGAGCCCGTATAACTGCAGCATAAGCATTAATCCCCTCCGAATTGAATATGAACTGGTTCCTTGCCTTCCGTATAATCCAACCTACTATGGCTACTTTCCCCAAGATGTCCAGTCTGCATTTTGCCTCCTTCACCAGCATAAGGAGTGTAGATGTTCTTTGGGCTACTGATATAAAAGAATTAACACCCCCCACAAAAGCAAGATCCATACCAAACCAGACCCTCTTGGTCCATTCGTATTCAAACAAGGTATGGTCGATTTATTCTGGGGCCAACTCACAAATCCTGCATATAGGTGAAGTAACACACTTCTTCTTGAACAGGTTCTCATGTGTGGCAAGGACATTTTGGCAAGATTTCCACCAAAAATGCCTGACTTTGGGGACTGCCTTCATATTCCAAATGAACATCCACAACTTCGGGTGGGGGGAGGCAGAGGTGCTGACCTCAGGCTGTACTGAAGTAGTTTTGCATCCTAACATGTACCCATACTTAATAGTGTATATTCCCTTGTTATTTGACCACCAAAATCTCCTGTATTTCTCACCGTTCATAGGCAAAGGGATGGCACAAATTGCCTTCAATTCCTTTCTCGAAATAACAGAGACCAGGTTAGAGGTTTTCCATTCCTTAGGGGTCACCTTAATAACGTCTGCAACCAAATCGAAAGAGCAGTCCTGGGGTTTTGGGGTTTCAATAACCAGATTAGGAATGAGAGGAATCCATTTATCATTCCGAAAGCATACCTCGCTGCCATCACCACTCTACCACATTAAACCTTTCTCAAGAAGCTCCCTTCCATACAGCAGGCTGGTCCAAATCCATGATGGTCTTGCACCACAACTTGTCTTCATCAAATCCCTATTAGGGAAATATATCACCTTCATAAATTTTGCCCAGTACGATTCTGACGAATTGATAATCCTCCAACATTGCTTAGCCAAGAGGGCTTGGTTGAACAGCTTGAAGTCTTTGAAACCCATCCCCCCAAGGGGATTTGGGTCGGTCATCTTCTCCCATTTCTTCCAACATATGCCTTTTTATCATCACCACCCTTCCACCAGAAATTCCTTACATAACTGTTGAGCTTGTCACAAAATGTTTTTGGGAATTCTACCACTGACATGTCGTAGTTTGGAATCGTCTGGGTAACTGTTTTGATCAATACCTCCTTCCCTGCTTGTGAAAGACAACAACTTTTCCAACCCTGCAATTTCTTCACAATTCTTTTAAACAAGTACCCAAATACCTCATTCTTGGATTTACCCCAGACAGTTGGAATTCCCAGGTACTTTGCATAGTATGGGAGGGCCTACATTCCCATGAGATTACAAAAGAACAACTTTTGCTCCTTAGAAGTGTTGTTTGAAAAAATAATTCCGGATTTCTGATGATTTGCACTCTGCCCCGATGCCACATAGTAATTCAGCAAAATCCTTAAGAGCTCCTGTACACTTTCATCTCTAGCTTTGAGGAAGAACAAAGAATCGTCAACAAAGAAAAGATGAGAAATGGCTGGGCTTTTTTGTTTGATTTTAATCCCCAACAGCTTTCTTTCCTCCACCCCTTTTAAGAGCATAACAAAGAGGACATCTACAACCAGGATGAATAAGTATGGGGACAAAGGGTCTCCTTGTCTGATTCCCCTTTAGGGTATAATCACTCCAACCTTCCTTCCATTCAACACAATTTGAATTGTGACCGTGCTCACACATTGCATAATTAGCTTTAACCCAACGACGCTCAAACCTCAATTTTATCATGACCTCTTCTAAAAAGTCCCACTCGACCCTATCTTAGGCCTTGCTTATATCCATTTTTATTGCAATCTCCGGGATTTTGCCACTTCTCTTGCCCTTCAGATGATGGGAGACCTCATTTGCAATAGCAATGCTGTCTTGAATTTGTCTGTTTGGTACGAAGGCCTCCTGGTTTGGGGAAACAATAGAACCCAACATTCCTTTCATCCTATTCGTCATTACTTTGGAAATCACCTTATATGAGAAGTTGTAGAGTGCTATCAGCCTGAATTGTGAAATATATTTAGGCGCAGCATCCTTCGGAATTATGACAACATTTGTAAGATTAACCTCTCTATTCATCTGCTCCCCTTCAAAAAATTCCTTAACCATCTTGGAGACGTTGTGTCCCACAATGTCCCAGAACTTGTAAAAAAATAAACCTGGGAACCCATCTGGTCCAGGCGCCTTTAATGGCCCCAACTCTTTAACTGCCTCATGCACCTCATTTTCAGAAATTGGCTTCAACAGTTGCAAATTCATATTCTCAGTGACTTTGCTCTTTACCGTGTTCAGGGCCTCAGACCAATCCCTCTCCCCTGTTGCGTTGAAAAGATTCTGGAAATAGTCTCTGATATGGGAGTTGATCTCTTCCTCCCCTTCAATCCACTCAGCATCCTTCGATTTAAGCTTAAGAATCTAATTTCGACTCCTCCTCTAGATGGTAGAAAGGTGGAAAAATCTTGTATTCTGATTGCCATCCTTCAGCCATTTAATCTTAGATCACTAAAACTAATATTTTTCTTCTTTGCATCCCACAACATGTAGTTGGGCACCCAGCTCAGCTTCTCTAATTAAGTTTTCCTCTATAGGTTCCTACATCTGGATATGAATTAATTCATTGTTCATGCATGATTTTCTTCTTGTTCCCAAACTTTTGCCTACTCCATTCAGTTAACTGATTACTGCATGATTTCAAATTATGAATGGTATTATGTGAAGCAGAGTCCCAAACTCACCATTATGGACCTATTTTCTCTATTAAATTTGGGATGTTAATATTAGCCGTTAAATTAATTTTAAAAAAATATTAAAGATATATCAACCGCAAAAAGTAAAAATCATTTTATTTATCTTTTGAAATTTGAATTGTATTGTAGTTTATTATATAGATGTGAATAATTTATATTTATAATATAAAATATGACAAATTTTAATAAATTTATCTGACGGTTTCAAATAGACTTATTCAACGGTTATCGACATCACTTTTAAAATTATTTACATTATACTGTACCTACAGGCACAATTACTCTTAATACATTTTACAAGAGAGTGTGCTACAGAATTTCCACATCTTCGTAACCAGGAAATTGAGAAACTTATACACTTTGGTCTAGAAAATGTCGAAAGCACCACATCTAAACAATAAGACAAATAAAATGCACCAAATAATAGTGTTGATATGTTGACCAAAATTTAAAGGAGTTGACTGTGGTATTGAATTTTTTTTTGGGGTACCATACTTTTATTTATAATATTTATGGTTATTTTTATTATATTTGTGGGTACTTTTATCACTGTTGTGATACCTAAAAAAATGATAAAAATAGTTACTGCAATACTAATAAAAACATCTACAAATATGATAGATCGTCTACAAAAGTGATATTTTTTTATATTGAAAAAAGTGGTAAAAATAGTTACTATAAATTTGATAAAAACACTCACAAAAGTAATAAATCAACCACAAAAGTAATAAATTTTTTAGTTGTAAAATAACCCACAAAAGTTATAAAAATACTATTTAAAATAATAAATATTAGAGGTATAATATCAAAATTTTTTTGACGGTACCATAGTGAAGTCCAAATTTAAATTTTAAATGAGTAAAACAATGATTAAGAATGCCACTCTATCAGTGTTTGATCAATGATATTTATGTTATTTTTCAATCAATCGAGCCTCATCTTTTCTATTTGGGTAAATTACATCCACCTCCTTGAGGTTTGGACAAATAACAAGAAGACCCCCTCTTGTTAGCGAAATAACACCGGCCTCCCTTGTTAGTCACTTCTGTCTTAGTTGTCTAACATAAGTTATGAAATGACAAAAACACCCTTTAGTAAAAAATATATACATATGTTTCATGTTGTAAGGTTAGGTTTTTGTTGATTCCACAACAAAGCAATCTCACAATACCACATCATCACCTTGTTTTTTTGTCCTATTTCAAAAACACAAATAGTGACAATCGATAAAACCACCATCATATTTTTTTCCATCACCACTGCCAACACACCACCACCACCACCAACATACCACCACTGCCATTGTCATCGCCAACATAACACCGCCAACATAGCCACTTCCACATCAAATCCCAACCCAATCTTTTCTTGTAGCAAGACACAACCAAAAAAATTCACAACAAAATCACTTAGAGGCACACAAGCTGTGAAGCAAAAACCACCACGTATTTGTATTCTTTGTCCAACTTCTCTTGAAATGGAAAAATCACAAATGCTGACTGTGTTTAGGAGTGGGAACCAAATTAAAGCTTCAATACCGACAATGGTAATTGTGGTTTCTAGCGTTGGTAGGGGTTGCGATTTACCTTTTTTGCTATTAGATTTTGATTATAGGAGAGAGAGAGAGAGAGAGAGAGAGAGAGAGAGAGGTTGGAGATTGGGCTTTGTTGTGGGAGCTCATGGATGGGTGCCAAGGTGGTTCAGTCAAAGAGTGGCCAAGGGCAGTTATGGTGGTAAAAGAGGAGGCGGTGGCGACGGATAAAGAGANGAGAGAAGTTGGGGATTGGGCTTTGTTGTGGGAGCTCATGGATGGGTGCCAAGGTGGTTCAGTCAAAGAGTGGCCAAGGGCAATTATGGTGGTAAAAGAGGAGGTGGTGGCGACAGATAAAGAGAAATTGGAGCCATGGTGGGTTTGATACAAGGGGGATAAATTAATGGATTTTGTTTGGAAATTAGCAATAATCTTTGAATCTATGGTGGATATTTTATGTTTGGTAATATATGTGGGATGTATAAGGGTAAAAATGGTATTTTGAAAATATAAATTGATTATGTCATCAAAAGTGAATTGTTTCTTGACGGAATACTAACGGGAGGAGAATCTGTTACCATCAACTAAAACAAAAGGGAGTGTAGTGTTATTATCCAAACAATAGAGGGTCTGGTTGTTATTTGAACAAACTTTAGGGGAGATGTAATTTACCCTTTTTCTTGTTGAACATGTATCTCGGATTGTCTTGAATGCTTCAAATGGAGTTCTGGGTCAGCCATTGGAATTCATCTGTTANTGTAGTGTTATTATCCAAACAATAGAGGGTCTGGTTGTTATTTGAACAAACTTTAAGGGAGATGTAATTTACCCTTTTTATTTTTGAACATTAATCTAGTATTGTCTTGAATGCTTCAAATGGAGTTCTGGGTCAGCCATTGGAATTCATCTGTTAGCCTTTCTAGATCAATTGAATAAGAGGTTGACACTTATGGTCTGTTTGGTACGATGAAAAAATAGGAGGATAGAAAGTTAAAAGGATGAAAAATTAGAAGGATAAAAAAAATATCGTGTTTGGTAAGGAAGGAAAGTAGGAAGGATGAAAAAGTAGATGAATTAACTTTCCTTCCAACTCACTAAAATCAATCCCTCCAAAATCGGAAGGAAAGTGGATGAAAAATTAATTATTTGTGTTGAGATGTATCTTATTTGTCTATATATCTTATGTATACATTAATTTCATATAAAAATACAAAGGTAAAATATGTATATATATTTTTAAAAATTTTAAAAATAAATTTTTAAAAAATTAAAAATTAAAAATTAAAAATTAAAAATTAAAAATTAAAAATTGAAATTAAAAAAAAATATTTTTTCCATCTTAACTAAGGGTGAAAATTTTAAACTCAAAACTCGATACGAAAATTAATTGGTCAACACAATTAGNTATTTTTAAAAATTTTAAAAATAAATTTTTAAAAAATTAAAAATTAAAAATTAAAATTTGAAATTAAAAAAAATATTTTTTCCATCTTAACTAAAGGTGAAAATTTTAAACTCAAAACTCGATACAAAAATTAATTGGTCAACACAATTGGTTAAATAGATTAAGTTAGGTTTGACTAATATTTGACACAAACTCGTACTGACTTAACAAGAATCTGACACGACACGACTCGATTCGACTCGACTCGATTGTCACCTCTAATCTTAGCCAACACAAAAAAGAAATTAAAAAAAAAATAGTTATTTTTATTTTTTATCTATCCAACAAAACACAAAAGAATGAAAGTGTATCATTTTTATTNAATATTTGACACAAACTCGTACTGACTTAACAAGAATCTGACACGACACGACTCGACTCGACTCGATTGTCACCTCTAATCTTAGCCAACACAAAAAAGAAATTAAAAAAAAAATAGTTATTTTTATTTTTCATCTATCCAACAAAACACAAAGGAATGAAAGTTTATCATTTTTAATNAAATTAAAAAAAAAATAGTTATTTTTATTTTTTATCTATCCAACAAAACACAAAAGAATGAAAGTGTATCATTTTTATTTTTTATCTTTGAAGAATAAAAAGTGTATCACTTCTACTTTTCATCCTTCCTACTTTCCATTCTCCGTACCAAACGAAGCATTAGGAACACAAACTGACTCAACCACTTTTTCTATCCTCTTTGGAGTTCCCATGTAAAATTCGGATGTTAAATCCTAACAGCTTCTTATCAATTTCCCTCAATTGAGGTGGTCCCTTCTTTGCAGAATTAATTGCACTTTTGGCATCAAAGATTTTAAAAATTGTACTTTACCTTCTCAAAAATAAAAATATCACGTATTTAACCTTTTAATATTTTAGAAGTGTAGCAATATAATTTCTTACATGGCATTTTTGAGCCTTGATGGTAGTTAGCCTTAATCTGCCCGTCTAAAAGATTGGCATAAACAGAATATTAAGGAGTAGGGGTAGCTATTATACACATGGCACTAGAGAAGAATTTGGATCAAAGTTGTTTTCTAATGCAGTNTTAACCTTTTAATATTTTAGAAGTGTAGCAATATAATTTCTTACATGGCATTTTTGAGCCTTGATGGTAGTTAGCCTTAATCTGCCCGTCTAAAAGATTGGCATAAACAGAATATTAAGGAGTAGGGGTAGCTATGATACACATGGCACTAGAGAAGAATTTGGATCAAAGTTGTTTTCTAATGCACTTTTTACTTGTACAAAAGAGTAATGGCATAGCATCAAAAGCGGTTTAAACACCAAAATCTGCAAAATATAAAGACTCTCTCTCTCTCTCTCTCTCTCTCTCTATATATATATATATATATATATATATGAGAATAGATTAATTACACTTTGATTCCTGCAACAGATTTTTTGTGCCACTTTGTTGCTGTTATGAACCCATGGGTAGATAAAGTTATAACTTGAATGGATCGAGGGATCAAACCTAACTCAATTCTATGAATAAAATTTTCAACTCTAACCTGAGATAATCAACCCGAGTACTGCTCGGGTTGATTTCGGGCAAGCTCGGGTTGAAATTAAGTTACCCAATTCCGGCTCAACAAACAATAATCTTAAATTAGGTGTGAGGCTTGCAAAATCCTGGTCCCCAATTTCAGATTATAACAAGTGCTAAACATGGCCAAAAGCACTACTAAAAGTTAACACTAACATTGCTAAAATGAACAATCAGAAACACTATGGGTGTGTTTGGATCATCAAATATAGGTAGATAAATAGAGTAGGATGGGATACAAAAGAAGGTGGGGCCCAGTTAACCCAAGTTTGGAATGCAAAAATGGGGCTACAAATCCCACCCGGATTGTATTCTGACCCGAATTGAAAAGTCAGCGTTAATCTGTGTAGTTTGGTTAAATGAAACCCAGGGAGGTGGGATATTTTTAAGTGAAAACTTCATTTTACTTCCTGTGGTTTAGTCCATTTGCACATCACCTCCCTATGGTCTCTAAGTGGCCAATAACTCCCATATGGTATCTGGACTATTCTGCACGGTAGACGACATTAATGGCAAGTGTAAAAGCTATTTAATACCCCCTATAAATATAAGCCAAAAACCTAGAACTCTGTCGTTTGAGTTGGATGTTGACCGAGTAATTTGGAGAGCCTTCGAAATTGGGAAAAACCTAGGGTGTGTGTTTGGATAGGGTAGGATACTTTTTTTTATATCCTAACTCATTTAACCCAAACCCATACATCCACTTTAAATCCAAGGTCAGGGTATATGTCAAATCCAAACCTTTGTTTGGAAAACAAATATGTAATTGTGTGGACCCCATAGATTATACAAAATATTTTATAGTAGTTTATTATTTTACCCATGACTCCATCCAATTTNTAAATCCAAGGTCAGGGTATATGTCAAATCCAAACCTTTGTTTGGAAAACAAATATAATTGTGTGGACCCCATAGATTATACAAAATATTTTATAGTAGTTTATTATTTTACCCATGACTCCATCCAATTTTACCCTATGTTTGAATTGGTAGCTTATCCTAACAAAATTAAATATTTTCCACATATACATAATAACATTTGACAAAAGGGATTCTCCCATTACATTTGACAACCCAAGTGATGATGCACAAAATTAGTTTGCACACCACCTGTCAAGTATGCAGTATAAAATATAGTAAAGTAGAGGGAGAGAGAAGACAATGTTTATAATGGTTCGGTCAATATAACCTAAGCCCACTTTGAATGGCAATGGTCGCCGAAATTTTATTATCTCCGGTGTGGAGGGAGAGCACAGGATTACAAGCTTTGAGAGGGGAGGAGTGAATTATGCTCAAATGAGTCTGATGTCCCCTAAGTGTTGGTGGGGTATACAATTTATAGTGACTTGGTGTACTAATTGAATAGCTAGTCTGACAGTCATAACGGGTTTGGGCCATTTAATAGTAATTAAATATCTCGGCGACCTTTCCTCTTCTCAACCGGCAATGAAGTTATAGTGCTCTCCAAATGACTTGGTTAAGGATGAGAGAGGTTGATTCTCTCCAGGCTGCAAGGAGTGAGGCTCATAAATGTTCCCTTACTCCAAGGTGGAGAGGAGACTCTTGGACGACCCTTGCTCCAAGGTGGTAGAGGAGGCTTTTGGATGACCCTTGCTCTAAAGTGATAGATGAGACTCTTGGATGAGCTCTTAGACGACCATATGTACTCCTCTACTGATATAACTCTTGGAACCTAATGAGCTTGACTGGGTGCAGACCCCTTTGGGCTTGGCTAGCTGGACCTCTTGGAGTTGGGCCCTTGAGCTTGGCCCATCATTTGCCCATCAATGCTCTATGTACAATGAAACTAGGAGAGGAGGGCATTCGGTTGAGTTTGAATTTTTGGTTGACCGGCACAATTGAAAAAACTTTGGGAGGCCAAAACATCTATTTCTAGGCCTTTTTTGGACTTTTAACAACATCAATCATAGCTAAAAATTATAAGTCTTGTAGGGCTCGCCGAGAGCTTCGATTTGATATATTATAATCCTCATTTGAAGTAACGGAGCAAAAGATACAGTCGAAACTTCGAGCAGAGAGCTAGACGAGTAATTTGGGCGAGCAGGCAGCCTTCTGGGCAAACATCACTGTTCTGGGTGAGCAGATTTTTTTTTAAAACTTCGGGAGGCCAAAACACCTCTTTCTGGGCCTTTTTTGGACTTTGTTTGAAAAGCTCATTACCTATGGTAATGACTTTTGCTCAGCTTGTTGAGAGCTTCGATTTGGTATATAATAAGTCCTATTTTGAGTTTCAGATCAAGAGTTACAGTCAAAATAATGTATAGGGAGTTGGACGTGCAGTTTGGGTGACCAGACAACTTCTGGGCGAGCAGGTAGCATCTTGGGCAAGCAGCAAATTTTTTTTTTTATAAAAAAAACTTCGAGAAGCCAAAACAGATGTTTCTGAGCCTTTTTTAGACTTTTTACAACGTCTTTCACTACCTTAGGGAGTGAGTTTTTTAGGGCTCGTCGAGAGCTTCAATTTTATAAATAATAAGCCCTGTTTGGAGTTTCGGATCAAAAGTTACGGTCAATATAATGTGCAGCCCTTTTTAAATCCGAATTTTTTGAAAACTCCTCTTGATCGGCCACCCCATTCCTTCCAGTAGACTCCTTTTACTTGTAGGACTCCACTGACTATATAAACTACTTTTTTCACTTTCCTTTTTGATTTTTGGAGAGATCATTGTTGTCCCCGGAGATGAAGAGCAGAGAGTTGAGAGTAGTGATTTTAAGGGAGTGACCTGCTGTGTACACGCCTGGAGTGTGTGAGAAGGAGGCATTGAGCGCCCAGGCTGTGGTGACCCTAATCTTGGCGAGCAAGCCAGTCGAGAGAGAGAGGCGCATAGGTGTATAGGCTTGCCTCAAACGTCGCTAGCGTGCAAACTAGACGAGCTGGGGCACGCGCTGTAGAGAGGCAG